CAGAAAAAGAAAGGCAAAACTCGGAAATCAGATCGGGATTGGAGTGAGGGCTCATCGCGCGTAGAGCCTGGGAAGCCTGATATGAGTCGCGGAGATCCCATCATCTCATTACTCAGAATATTGGCCGCTTACTGGAGAAAGCAATTCAAGATTACCGCGCCGGGACTACGAAAGGGTGGTTATCGGCCAATGGCTCACCTGGAAGCGGAAATATCTTCTTTCCAGAAAGACGAACACGATCCTGAGAGACATGGGGAGCGAATACGGGATATAGAAGAGTTCCGTACTGCAGCAGAGCGAATGGAGGGCTCTCGAGATCTCGGGGCTCAACTGTTCACCGCGCTGGTCCGCGCTCTGGGGGTGGAAGCCCGTCTGGTCGCCAATCTGCAGCCCCTTGGATTTGGCTGGACCAAAGTGGAGGTTTACACGCCGAGACCTAAAGTGGAGGAAGGGTCCATTGAGGAGAATGGGCAGTCTGAGCCTATAGTTGGTCTAGAAACCGACAGTAGTGACTCAGAGACCGCTCCCCCCCATAAGTACAATCCCAAAAAATACGACAAGGACCTTCCCTTTCCCATCTATTGGACTGAGGTAGCCTCGCCCATCACGCACGAGATAATTCCTGTTGATCCCCTGATACTGTCGAATCCTGTGGCAACAACTCCAGAGCTGCAGGCTGCGTTTGAGCCCCGTGGGGCCAAAGCTGAGAAGGTCAAGCAGGTCATATGCTACGTTGTTGCGTACTCTTCCGACAAGACTGCTAAGGATGTTACGACACGCTACCTCCGTCGTCGAACCTGGCCAGGCAAGACCAAGGGCTATCGCATACCAGTCGAGAGAATTCCGGTACCAGGCCGGAAGAGAAAGTTCTTCGAGTATGACTGGTTTCGGACCATTTTGCGGGTGTATGAGCGCCCTGAGAAGAATCGCACGAAAGTCGATGAGGTCGAAGACGCCACAGACCTGCGCCCTAACCAGCCTGAGAAAAAACAGGTTAAGGAAGGGGACACGCTGCAGAGCCTTCGTTCGTCGACTGAATTCGTCCTGGAGCGATTTCTGCGCCGTGAAGAAGCTCTTCGACCTGGAGCCCAGCCTGTCCGCACGTTTGTGAGCGGCAAGGGCGACAAGGCCAAAGAAGAGAAGGTATACCGGCGAGCAGATGTCCTCAAGTGCCTATCCGCCGAGAGCTGGCACAAGGAAGGACGCCAGATAAAGATGGGCGAAGCCCCGCTGAAACTGGTGCCGATCCGCGCCGTCACCCTTCTCCGGAAGCGTGAAGTCGACGAGATGGAACGCGAGACGGGCGAGAAGCCCAAGCAAGGCTTATATGCCAAGTACCAGACCGAATACATAATACCACCACCAATTCGCGACGGCATCATCCCTAAAAACGAATACGGCAACATCGACTGCTTCGTGCCCAGCATGGTACCCCGCGGTGCCGTCCACATTCCGTGGCCAGGCACAGTACGCATCTGCAAGAAGCTCGGCATCGACTACGCGGAAGCCGTCACAGGCTTCGAGTTCGGGTCCAAGATGGCCGTCCCCGTCATCCAGGGCGTGGTTGTAGCCTCCGAGAACGAAGATCTCGTCAAGGACGCCTGGCGCGCCGAAGACGCCGAGAAACGGAAGAAGGAGCAGCTCAAGGCTGAGAAACGCATCCTACAGACATGGCGCAAGTTCCTCTTCGGGCTGCGCATCGCGGAGCGCGTTCGTGAGGAGTACGGAGCCGACGACGAAGACATGGAGCGCGAATCTCATAACCCATTCGCAAGCCGACACGCACGAAGTCAAGCCCGTCCACCTCCTGTTCCGGAGGCCTTGCACGAGTGGCCCGGTGAACCTGCTGACCGTGGCGGTGGCTTCCTTCTCCCCGGTGAAGACGACGGTGACGACGGCGACCTGGTCGTTGAGGATCACCATCCGCGCCAGGCTCGTTCAGCGCAACAAACGGAAGCTGTAAGTGAGGATGAGGTGGGGCCCGGTCACGATGCGATTAGCATCAGCTCCGATGGGGCGACGATCTCTCGTCTCCGCAGCAGATATCGGATTCTGGAGAGGACGAGCCGTCGGCGTCTACTTCCGAATATGAGCCACCCTCGACGCGCAGGCGCACTCGGAATCCGGGTCGAAGTACAAGGGGCAAATAATCATCATAATGAATTTCACATGGGTACGGTCAGGTGTTTTATGCAGATAAATACTGCTTTGGGATACACGGTACTGCGTGGGACTATGGGATGGATGCACAGGATGACTTATGGACAATTACTCTACCGTACGATGAACACGAATGAATTAATGATCTACATTCCGCGAGGAAACCTTATATACATTCACGCATATATGCACACCACCAACGTGAACCAGCTTGGACAAGGTAAGATTCACAAATAAATGGGAGGCATCATACCCTTCTCCGCCCACGAGCAGACGGGGACGCAATCAGGTCCATCTCCTCAAGATCCCCAACCGAGTCCTCATCTGCATCCGGATCAAACTCCTCCAATGGCGTCACATGCACCGCCGGCGAGGCAATAGGACTATGCGCGACGCGCGGCCGTGATTTGAACACGCTATTGTAGTCCGCCTCCTCCTCGAACAGCTGGTCCCGCGGAGTCGACGCCCGAGTCTGCGACTGTTTCTCGGGCGTTTCGAACTGGTTGACGGGAAGGGAGACACGCGACTTGCGCGAGCGACGAGGCTGCTGTGGGGGGCGGCTGCTCGGGGGCGGAAGTAGCGACATGGATTTGCGGGTGCGTTCGACGAGAGTGAACGTGTTGAGGCGAGGGTCGTGTTTGGGTTCGATGTCTGGATCCGGGGTGATTTGAACGATAGGCGAGCTTGTTCGGGTTGACAGGTTGTCTGGTGAGGGGACGGCCTCGTTTTCATTCAATTCTTTACAGTAGGAAGGTCTGGAGTATTGTGAAACCGAGGATTTGGCTGATTCAGCGTCGGAGGGTATTGTGATGGTTGGTTCCATGGCAGGGACACGTAGTGGAGGAGCCGCTCGTCCAGAAGAACGAGGCTTACCGTCGATGCGGGAAAGAGCTTCATTCATCGACTGTAGAAGGGCCTGGTCGTCTTGTCGGGGAGCAGCTCGGGCCAGCGGCTGGCGAACGACTTTCGAGATGCTAGTCACGCTGAGAGCCTGGTGATCCTTGAAGGCCAGTGGCGCCTTTTTTGCTGCATTTCCCGACGCCTGAGACCCAGCGCCATCTTTCTCGCGCATGGAGCTGGCAACCTCGCGCCATTTCTGCAACCGATTGCGCTGACGCGCGATGCGGGACTCCAAGTCAACCAGTAGGTCGGGCGTCGCGCTGACGGTCAGATCCTCCACGGTCGTCTCGTTTGCCTTGGACCATGCTGTTTCAAACGGCAGCTCTAAGAAGGCATCACTGCTACTGCGAGCGCCGCCCTGAAGCAGGGTATCAGCCCACTCCTCGCTACCCATCCAATTCTCTTTCAGCTCGCGTGATAATGCATCAAGGTTGGCGACATCCTTGGGAATATCAGGCGGACCCTCTTTTGACCGATCGTCGAGCTGAGTCTTCTTGCTGTCCAGGAGCTGAGAGAACTTCTCATGAACGTCCATAATCCGGGACCGACGTTCACCCATTGTGGCCAGAGAGACACGATGGACAAGAATCAGCGGCAGCATCAGCTGATACTCATCCGGAGCGATGCCCTTAGCCATAGACAATCTCATGGCTGGGTTTGGCAGACCGTCCATCGACGAAGCCAGGACCTTGCGCAAGACGGCGGTGGAGAAGACGGCCAAGAGCTCATCGACCTTCTCCCCTTTGCAATCGTCCAACATGGACTTGCGAAAGATAGTTTCTCTGCCGAGATCGCCATTCTTCTTCAGATCGGAAAGTACTCGAGATAGAGCGGCACGAAGATTGACCGATTGGAGTGGCTCCAACGGAGGGTAGAAAGGACGGAGTTTCTAGCAATGGTAGCTGGTCAGATTCATACGCGTAGTAAACGATGGTTGCAAATAATCACATACATCGTGAGCAAGTTTAGGATCCCAGAGGGCTACCAGGTGATACAGAGCCCATTCGACCGCTCTAATACGCTGGCGCTGGTTCTGCGATGAAGGCGAAAGAGAGCGGACAGTAATGTCAGGCCAGTCGGGTTGACGGTCAAGTTGTAGCAGCTTCAAATTGCGAATGAAGACGCATGTGTGTGATTGGTGAGCCCACTCAAGAGTTTTGGGCCGGGGAGGTTGTTTCGAAGACTGCATGGTGGATGCGTGCAGATGATATGGGGGAATAATGTCAACAAAGCTTCCACGGTCCGAAGATCCAGCATAGACAGACTATGGAGAGCTCCACTATTACGGCGTCGTCTCTGAACCGGGAAGGGCACAAGTCATCCATTAACACACCATTTGCATATCACTATTTACTACAACATAGTATTCATTTCCCAGAGCTAATACCGGTCATTCCGTCCCTTAGCGATACTGGAGCTTCAATATGGGAATAGCATGGTGGAATCACGTGAATCAGATCCTCAAATGTTCGTGTTTGGAAGCAGAAGAACGTATCACCATCCGCAATCGTTTCTACTAGCTTATTCATATCAGATCCTGCGTCTTAAGGTATCTTGTCTCCAATGGCTATTCATGGATCGAATCAGTCTGATAGTCTGATGATTGCCCAATTCTTATAGAGACACCTCACTATAAGGCTGGCTTGTTTATCTGCGCGATAAGCTGTTTGCATGGTTTGCACTGGAGACCCAATCAGTAGCATCACAATTAACACGACTGATGACGATTGACTTCAATAGATAGAAGGTTGGTTTATAGAACTGACAGGCAAGTATCAAAGGAGGACTGTAACAAAGCTCGGTGATAATTTTCCATAACCATTAATATTGCTTGTGGCTGCTGCACTATCTGCTTGTTCCCCCTCCTACCAAGTTGGCGGTGATAAGAAAGAGGCTCTCATCTCCTTTCTCTCCCCGCAGAGATCTTCCCTTTTCTTTCCCTCATCTCATTCAGTCCAACTTTTTAATCTTCATCACTGCAGTCCCTTCTATTCTCATATATCCCATTGCGCTGCGCATTATTTCACAGTCTCTCTTTTAATATTTCAGATCACCCAGTCTCTGAATTAGCTGTATCTCTCCACTCAAGTCGTTACCAGCGTACCCCTCATCAAACAGCATCATGGGTTCCGACGCGCCTTCCGACCCTCTCTGGACCACTCAGTCAGGTATGATCTACCCCGTCACTCCAATGCTAATGTCCCTGATTTGATGGTTCTAATTGCCTGTAGTTTTGTCCACACTGCCTCACCCTCCCGAAGAAAACTCCGCCTCTCCCATACCATTTTTCCACCTCCTCGAACGTCTAAAGACAACTAAGCGCGAAGGCTGGCGTCGCTTTGGCATCAGTACCGGAGAATCGATTTCTGACCACATGTACCGCATGTCAATAATGACCATGCTTGCACCTCCTGCACTTGCCTCCCGCCTTAACCTGCCCCACTGCATGAAGATGGCGCTTATCCATGACATGGCCGAGTCGATTGTTGGCGACATCACCCCCGTGGACAAGGTCAACAAGACCGAAAAGGCGCGCCGAGAGGCCGAAGTGATGGACTACATTGCGAAAAACCTGCTTGGCGGTGTACCTGGAGGCATGTTGACGGGCGAGGAGATTCTGAAGGTCTTCAACGAATACGAAGCGAACGAAACCCTTGAGGCGCATTTTGTGCACGACGTCGATAAGATGGAGCTATTGCTGCAGATGCTCGAGTACGAGCGCACCCACAAGGTTGACCTTTCGGAGTTCTGTCATGTTGCCGGTCGTATCCAGCTGGACGAGGTCAAGGAATGGGCGGCCACTGTTCTCAAGGAGCGGGAGGCTTTCTGGAAGGGAATGGCTGCGAACACAAACGGTACAGCATAGAACACTTATCGCAGGAGGCAGGAAGGTTGAGTCTATTCGTACTTTGCGTCATTCTTTACATTTTCAGTTTGGGCCATCATCCACCGAACCCGGTGGAGGCGTTTGGGTTGGCATTCTAGAATTAGATCGGATAGTGTGTGATAGCATGGGTCTAGGTATGAGCCATATGGGTATCATGACATTCAACGAGGCACGGTTTATAGCTCCTAATAGCATCTAGTATGTATTCTTCATGTATGTTATAGAACCAGCTATAAGCCACCGCCATGATCACTTCACAACCTCCCTCTCCATCCTCTCCATCTCCCTCGCCAACATCTCCGCCTCAGCCTCCATCTCCTCCATACTCCTCGGCGACCGCCCCTCATTATCAACCGCAGGGAACTTCGCCCTCGGCATCCTCTCCCCCTCCTTCCCCTCCCCAAACGCCCGCCTCAGATCCCCCTCCTCTCCATCCAACAAACCATACACCGCATCCATCCCGCCCCGATGGTCCAGATCCGCCCGTTTCCGCGGGATGATGTGCGCATGCACATGCGCCACGCTCTGCCCCGCCTCCGGCCCATCCTGCACAGCAATATTTAGACTCGACGCGCCGTACACGCGCTCAACCATCTTGCCGACCCGCTGCACGGTGAGGAAGAGATCGCTCGTTTCGGCGGCCGTCAGGTCCGCGACGCGGGGAACGCGCCGGCGCGGGGAAACGAGGACGTGGCCCGGGAGGATGGGTTTGAGGTTTACGAGGGCGAAGGAGAGCGGGGTGAGGTGGAAGACCTTATGTGCTGTTAGACTGATAATCTGCTGGTGAGGGGTGGGGAGGGTACTTTACCTGGGATGTGACGAGGAATGGGCCAAAGTAGATCTGGGCGCCTTTGAGGGCGGCGGACATGGCGGGGACGGGGTCTCGGACGGACATGAAATTTTTATTTTATTTTTTTTTTATCGGTTGGAAATGGGCTGATCAGGAATTAAGGATAAGCTTGCGGGGGAGTAAGAGGGATCCCATCCGAGAGTGGATGTTTTGGTGGTTCAGGTCACTTATGATGCGGAGTCGAGTCGGAGAAGCTGTGCGGGACCTGGCTTGATAGCGGGCACCGGCTGGCTGAGCGTTATCAAGGCCTTCCCCATGAGGAGGTATACAAATACTACCACAGACAGCGAGGCTATTGCTGACGGCACTCTGCAAATAATGGGTATCATTAATTTCTAGGCAGCCTCAATTGTATATTACATGTCGATTGAGCCTCCATCTGGCTCAATTGAGTGTGGGAATAATCGCATCATAGCGATGAATAAGCCTCGAACAAACATGACCTCAAGCCTCCTTGGCTGGCTCCGTCGCTGACTCGGGCTCCTGCTCAGTTGTCGTATGAGATTCAGGCTCTTGCTGGGTCTGCTCAGTGGATGCTTCCTCTACAGGCGACGGCGTTTTCTCTTCGCTTGCTTCTGTGCTGTCTTCTGTACTGGCTTGGGTCTCTGCTTGCGACTCCTCGGCTTTGGGGCTTCCGGTTCCTCAGGTGGCTGGACGGCTTCCGGCTCATCCTTTGCTGCTGCTTCTGTATTCGTATCTGAGGGCTTCCCCTCTTCGTCCTCTTGCACCTCTTCAACAGTAACCTGCGACTCGGCCGGGTCTGGCCCGGGTGCATCGGCAGCTTCCTTCTGCTCCTCACTTGCAACCTCTTCTGCAGGCTGTGGTTCAGACTCAACTTCGGGTACAGCCTCAGCAGATTTTTCATCCTTTGACTCCATCACAGGCTCCGCTTTCTGCTGCTCTTCTGATTCCTCCGCTCCCTCACTGATCGTCGTAACCCGAGAACTGATGGACGCGCTATTCTTGTGGCGCCGGGTGGTTGCACCGGTGCTAATGGACGAAGGCTCAATGTTCTCCAGCGGGTCCTCGCTGTCCTTTCGTAGAATCGTCATCCGACGGTTGTCCGCCTGTTCCAGCATTGACTGATTGGCATCGAGTCCCTCCGCTTCAGCAGGCACCGTGTAATTGTCTTCGGGAATAAGCTTGTACATATCGCACACCGTCTTGAAAAATATGTACAGCCCATCATTACCCTCAACCTGCCAGAACACATCCCGGTGTTGGAACCAGGCATGGGCGAAGATGCGATACAGTCTACGGAATATGTTGGTCAGGTACCTCAGACTCGCCTGCGCGCCACCGCCTGCCTCGGAACCCAACGTAAGACGACTAGGAAAATGCTTTGGAGATGTGAGGATGTTCGTGGCCCAATCGAGCGTATGGCAGCAGTAGTCGATCGCGCAGCAGGATTTGGGGGGTCATGGACGGCGCAAAGATACTGCCACTCGGATGCACGCATCTCAGGACACGTTTGCGCGGAGCAGGGCGGATCTTCGGCGAAGAAAGCAACGATCAGGTTATTCACTTTCATGGTGAGGAAACGACAGAGTTCGTAGAGCCAGAGGGACCTGTCCACCCCCTCGGGCGGTTCCGCAAGCTGTATCGCGACATCCCGACTGATAGGCACGACGGTCTCAGATCCCTCCGGTCGGGTGAAGTGGTTGTAGAGCGCTTTCAGGTGTTCTTGGAGCTGGAACGGAGAGTCGAGCTGTTGGACAACAGAGGGCCTGTTTAGCGAAGGTAAACACCTTTGACTTGCTTGTTGACATGAGCTCACCTGCGACAAAGGAATCAATGGAGGACCGACAGCCATATCCGCTGCATTAGTTCCTGGTCGGATCCTCCGAGAAGAAGCATTATCATTGCCCTTTGAAGCTGCCAGAAATTCTTGCGTCTCTTTCCCAAACGAATCGCCGACCGAGGGTGACTTGGGCCCAATCTGTACCTCCGTGAACGGGGGAGGACTAGGTAAGCGCGGCGAGCTGGACGGCGACGCCCCAGCAGCAGCCATGATGAAGATGAAGAAGAAATGAAAATATAAAAAAAAAAACTAAATCCACGGCCTGTCACTGTAAAGACGGCGGCCACCAGACACTGATGCTGGTGATGATTGACGGAGAGCTACTGCTGCGGAGCTCGATGGCCGAGACCAACGCCAGGATCCTTAGGCTCCAAGGCTCTAAGGCTACCGTAGCCCGAAGCCCATGACCGGGGAAGCCCTGAGCCCTAATTGCTGCCTCCGCTCCAGGAACAGACGTCATTCTTCCCCGCAGGAATAAGGTACGTTGATCAATTCATAGTTCATAGACGGGGTCTCATTAGAGTGAGACTTTCATCGCAAACTCAAACCATGCCGGCAGATATTATTGATGATGATGATGCTCCCCCAGAGCTCGTGGATGTGTCCACCCTGCCGTACTCAGAAAAGCCCAATATTTCCACGACACCATCTACAACCTTAGACACGCCGGCACAGGATCGCGTGCCTATCACTCTGGTAACGGGTATAACTTTATCAGAAATGAATTTCTTGTGCTTGAGACTCACAACGACAAGGTTATCTCGGTGCGGGCAAGACTACCTTGCTTAATTACATCTTGAGTGAGAAACATGGCAAAAAGATAGCGGTGATCATGAACGGTTTGTTGTCCAGGACCCTGTGAAGAAACATGACTGATATGTATTTCTAGAGTTCGGGGACTGTAAGTTGGCGCGGCATGTCACAATTCAGCTATTAAACTAATTCAACTCCAGCTACGGACATCGAAAAGCCATTAACGGTCAACCAGAACGGCCAAGAGGTCACGGAGTGGATGGAAGTCGGAAACGGCTGCATCTGCTGCTCCGTCAAGTAAGCACTGCTCCCCCACGCTCTCAAGACGACGTGACTGAGCAGCTGGCCGCCAGAGACTCGGGCGTCATGGCCATCGAGTCACTCATGGAGCGTCGGGGAACATTCGACTACATCCTCCTAGAGACAACGGGGCTCGCCGACCCGGGCAACCTCGCGCCCGTTTTCTGGGTAGACGATAACCTCGGCAGCTCCATCTACCTCGACGGAATCGTCACCCTAGTCGACGCGAAGAACATCCTCCGTCTTCTGGACGAGCCCGCGCCGGAGGAAACCGCCTCGAGCCATACCGACGGAACTGAGGACGAGAGCCATGGACACCCGGGGCCTGTGCTCTCCATGGCGCACATGCAGATCTCCCACGCAGACGTGATCATCCTGAATAAGGCGGATCTCGTCACCCAGGAGGAACTAGACCACGTCCGCTCCCGCATCCTGGCGATCAACAGCGTCGCCAAAATCCACGTCACAGATCACAGCAGGACACCACAGATTGAGGGCGTCGTGCTGGATCTCCATGCATACGACCACCTGGACAGCCTGGACTTTGGGGCCAAGGGACACAGTCACATCGACCCGGTAATACTAACCCTTGCCCACAGCCTTCGATTTCTCACTAGTAGTCATCTGCTGATATCCAACAGGCAATATCAACAATCGCCATAATCATACCCCCGATTCCCGCGAACAAGGTCTCACGGGTAGACGCCTGGCTCCAATCCGTTCTATGGGAATCGAAAATCCCGGTAATTGACAATACAGATACTTCTAGCCTCAATAGTTTCGAGATCCACCGTCTGAAAGGCATTCTAGCACTGCAAGACGGGTCCTGTAAGATCATCCAGGCTGTCCGGGAAGTCTTCGAGATCCGGGACTCGGAGCCAAAGACAGGCGGTGGCGGCGACTGCAAGCTCGTTCTGATCGGCCGTGGTCTGGGACAGGATGCGCAGCCGTGGCGGAGGAACTTTGAGGCGTTCCTGGAGGCTGGCCCGTAGCGCAGTGGTTACAGGCGCGACAGCCGAGCGAGTGTACACGCCGCTTGGTACAAATCATCTGCAAGACATTCTATTACCAGCTGGGAGCAACCATGCGGCAAGGCCGAGGCTACGATTGGACAGCTTTACCGAATGAGGTGGCCGCACAGCGACCCAAAGCACATAGGACAGCTCAATGCCGCCTACGTATCTGCGCCTGCATGATCCATATCTTCGCAACAAAAAGGCATCAATTAAAATTTTGATAAGATAAATACAGCTTCGTGAAAGAGAAAAATGACACGGACATCGCAAAAGTGTACAATTGGACCACTTGCAGAGGGAAAAGTATCAGATGACATCCGCCAATCGTATATCATGAGAAGATCGTAAATGAGAAGCTGGCACGGCAGGGAATAGGCGCATCTCTAAATCGCAGGTCGTACTCAGAGAGGTGGTCCTGTTCTGAGAAGAAATGTTGTTTCAACTTCCAATGCCCTGCTATCTCAAAAAAAGGTATGAGCAACAGTTGCGGTGGGTTCTATTCAATAATGGCGCAAGAGCCGTACCAACAAGAGACTGAACAGTAGAAACCAAAACTCCAGGTTCGCCTTCATCGACTTTCTGCGAGACTCGTTCCATTCGGACGAATGAAAAAAAAAAAAAAATATGTGAAGGGACGCCAACGAGGTAACTGTACAGCGCGAGCAAAAACGTGTATCAAGGGTATCGAGCACTTTGAGGCCCTGGGTCTGAGGCCTGGCTAAATCACTGGGAATAAATGCAGAGTCGCGAGAAAGGCTTTTTAGTTTCGAATATGCACCCACTGTCATACTGATGCCTAGAAATTGTCGGGGTTGCTGGGTTGATGGGCAGATGAGATTCGCTCAAATAGGGTGTTTGCTCCGCCAGGCCATGCCTTGCCTTGTTGAAAGCGGAGCGAATGGCCAACTGTGATAGTCGGTCTGTATTCAGATAGATGGGTTCTTGCTTTGGTTCACCCGATGCGGGGTTGATTGGTAAGATTGATTGCAGAAGGGATGATACGGAGTGCGTAGGCGCTTCGCTGGACCAGTTTTGCTTCTGGATATAGGGATACTCGAGGTCCACCGTCGAGGATGAATGCGGATGAGTAGACTGAGTTGTTGCTGATGAAGCAGAAGACGTATGATATTTCACCGACATTGAAGATGGTTCTCTAGTGCTGCCTGAAGAGCAGGCTGGATTTCGACTGACACCCGCCAGCTCCGCCGGGATATGGTCAATCTGGAAATGTAACGCGTTCGCTGATTGATCGCCAGGATGTGCTTGATGGATAGAATCTCCTCCGTTAGTGTGTCGTCCTCTCTCATTTGCTCCATCACGGTCGGGGGTGCGGTTGCTATGTTTGTTTTCTGGTACGCCTCTATCCGAAGAGGAGTGAGGGCGTTGGCCATGCGTCTCGGAATTTCGAGAATCAAAAGTCACCTCACAAGTCCGATTATCAGCTGCATACTCGTGCATGGAGTTTGAGTGTTCGTTTGTGGTCGGCACTTTTTCGTCGTCAAGTGACAAACTGTAACAGTCTTCGCCATGGTACGCTGGAAAGGACTCTACGCTATTGGTATATAGCCGAGACCCTGCGTCGTCCAGAGAAACTGTCCTTTCATGGAAATGACCAGGTTGATAAAATGGCCGGTTGTTTGGACCGGCAAAAGTTGCCGCTGTAGTAATGGCACGGGCATTGTATAAAGGCAACGGGCTGTTGTACAGCCCAACCCCGAGGCCTCCGTGCGGAAGATGCGTCGAGTGAAATTGCGGTGTTGTTGTTGAAAGCTCCTGTGGAAAGAAGACCAGGAGCTCCTTTGCCGAGAGCCTCTGGCGAGGAGAAGGACTCAAGCAGATCGATACTATCCTGCGATACCAATCAGGCACGTCCACCTCCTCGCCGAGCAAGAGGGGGCGAGGTTGCCGTTCAGGCTCGTCTTCCTCGGTGGCCAGCGCCCACAGAGTCATTCCTAGCTGATAAAGATCGGTTTTCACCCCGATATACATGGATATTCGCTGGTTGCTCTCGATCTTGGCAGCAATTTCGGGGGCTCCCATCCCACAGGACAGCCCCGTCTGTTGATATCAATGATTTTGGCGTTGTCATCGGCGTCCACCACGATGTTCGACAATGTGAAGTCTCCTTGCACATATCCTGACTCGTGAATCTCACCCAGGCCCTGGACGATTTGTCTCGCCCACCGCGCTCGTCGCTCCCAGGAGATTGTGCCCCGCTGCTCATACAAAATGTCAACCAATGCCCCTGCTCGGCGTAACTGATAAGTAGACCCTTGACGGCATCTCGCCGGTCGTTGACAACAATCCCTTCCACTTGAATGACGTTTGGTGAACCGTTGAGGGCATGTAGAGCATTGATCTCGTAGAGAAACTCGTCGACCGTGTCGGGACCGGGGATTTCCTTTTTGATATAGTTCTTACCATCCAGTCGGACATTGTACACGAAGCCCGACAGATGCGCCTCGAAATGCAGCTGGTATTCAGGGACAAGGCGAGCCTCCGGCAGATGGCCGATGCAAGACGTCGGAGGGTAGGGGATGATTTCGTTCACGTCTTCGGTGACGTGCACATGGAGCCGGCCATCACGCGTCTCCAATTTCAGATTCGTGACTGTGTCGTAAAACTGAATCTCTGGAAGCGACTCTCGGATGGACTCGTAGATTCGAGCACACTTGTCTCGCTGGTAGTGCAATTCCTTCAGATCCTGCTCGAGCGAATCGGGAGGAGCGCCCCGATAATCGCACGAGATGGTGACTCTGCGCCATCGGTTGGGGGCTTCGGCGTAGGTGACGAAAAATTTCTCGCGCTCCGACCGGTCACGAAAATGCATACTCAGATTCAGTATCCACCGCTTTTCCAATTCCATCTCGATCAGACCCTCCGGCAGCTGTTCGGGCACATCCGCGACCTCGGGACACAGATTCCAATCGGACATAACCTCACTGTCGTCATTCGTCGTCGCAGGTGGTTCATCTTCCTCCACCGTGGGTTCTTCCGCGTGTTCGTGCCATGGAACCTCGGGCGCGGACAATCTGGGGTCCACGGTGGGCTGTGGGGACCTGGTCCGCTGGGCGCTCAACGGGCAACGACGGTCGGCGGAAACGGCACGACGGGGCTCTGGTTCGACGGGGCTAGACGATCTCGTCGTTCCGAATCTTGTCTCTTGAATGTTGTTGAACGGGGCAGACCGACACCTACCCTGCGAGAAAGTCTGCGGGTCAGGTTATCGTGGGGTTTGGAAGAGTGGTGGGCATTGCTGTTGTTGTTTGTAGTGGAAGCAGGGTTTGCGGGAGGTGAGGAGTCACCAGAAGGTGACCGGGAGGATAAGTCGCGATCATCACGGCCCAGCAGTCTTCGAAGACCGAGTCGATGCCACATGCTCTGTTTGGGGCGAGGGTTGACCTTTTCTGGGTCAAGTAGAAAACCCAGGTGCCTCGTGGGGCTATATGAACTGTCTGCGATGGAGATGGCCATACAGATCGATTCGGCCGCTCCACTGTCGTGCAAGGAACGACTTGAACACCCCGCCAACTGGATTCCCGACGTCCATAAGAATTGAGGCCGGCACGGGGAGAAAGGACGATGGCAATCAATCTAGTCGTACTGCAGCCGATCTTTCACCTGTCTAGTCGAACAACCTGAAGATAGGAGGAGAGAGATAGAAGATAGAGAAGCAAAAGACGATTGGGAAAAGAGAAAACAAAAAATAAAAATAAAAATAAACAGAAGTAAAAAATTTTCCTGTTTTCTTTTCTATCTCGTTCCCTTGAGAAGTCGGTGAGGTTTGAATTTTGGTCGTATGAAAATTTGCTTCGTCCGTGCCAGCTTGGGCTGTGGCTGGGTTGCTGGGTTTTTTTCCCTCTTGACTGCCTAATGAGGATCGAACAATGAGGGCGAGGTAGAATGAGTCAAGGTGAAGGGCATCAGGAGTCAGGGCAATTCTTGTGGCGCGGATAGAAGAATCACGAAACTGAGTAGGTAGTCTTTGGACGGACAGATAGATAGATAGATAGATAGATACGTAGACTCGATACTTGAAGATGCAAGAGGGAAAAGATATGATAGATGGCTAATTGCCAATGGGCAACAGTTTGATGGTGGTGGTTTTGCCCTGCTTGCTGCAAGGCGTGTACTCGTTTAGGTCCAAGTCTTCTTTCTGACATCTAACTAAACTAAAGGTTAATGGTTGGAGCAGCAATATGATGGAAAATCCTGTCAAAAGCCAACTAATGATCCGTCACCCCTCCTTCCTCCTGGTTTAGTCCTTTCATTGGGAGCGTCAATTGTATGGAGTATAAAACAGGATAGCTAGCTGGCGATGTCCAGCACCACAAAGGAGCAATATACCAAAAATCAAGGACGACAAAAGAAATCCGACAGATAATTGCTGATCACCAGAAATATGTTAATCAAACCCTCTTTAAGATAGATACTAGGCTAACACTCAATAGTAAAGGCACAAATGGAATATTGAAGCTGTATGGCGGCCTGATATGTGCCTGATATATCCGTATAGTATAGAAGCGTTACGAAGGCATCATCTTTTTCTCCCCCACCGCGAATAGATAACTAAGGTATCTCGGTAAATACTAAAAATTGCAACAGCCTTGTAATTTGACCCTGGTACTCACATTCGCTTTGATAGCAAAACAATAAATTATCCCAGTGGACCTGCGTCCCTTTTCTTCTTGATGCATTAGGTAGATATTAATGCACAGCCCAAAATCTTTCTCGAAGCCTTAGTTCATCCGTTTCGGTTGGCTGTTCGGAGTATGTACGGAGTAGATACCTTAGCCTTCTCAAAGGATTGAGCGTATGATATCGGTAATCTCATGCGCTGGCTCACTACAGCGGATACTCCATCTATTCGTTGTACTTCTCCCATCTATAAGATACAGATTATAGATAATGATGATAAAAACGATGATGGTGATGGCGTTGGCCCAACCAGCATATTGCTCTATACGCATAGTGAAAGAGTCAAAAGACACCTCGACTAACCTACCTGTGCAGGTCGGTAGTAGTCTACCATAGCGGATCAACCAAGTACTTGAACAACACTGAATCCGGAAAATAAACAGAAGCAAAATGGAAAGAGAAGATGCAGAACGAGGCTGAGGTTATAATTACCGGTGTCATCTGCTAGATAAAGTACACCTAGAGTTTCAAAGTGATGCTTCCATAGAACGACCAGAACCCAGCCAATGCATCCAATCATCGCAAAAAGATATCCAACACCAATCACTTCCCTCTCCTGCTCTCGAGATTGACATCAGATGCGACTCTAAAGCCGTACTGCTTCACCAGCGGTACACAAGACCTGAAGTGCGGTGTACTACTATACCAGTACATCGGGGGCGTCATCTCAAGCCCAAAGGACCTAGAGAACCCCTCCCTCCATGCACAGCCGACTCGAGCCGATCTTATTGTCTGCGCGAGTTGAGCAGGTCAAAGAGGTTTCTTCTGATCGTCAGAAATGGCATCGGCACAGGCTCATTTTGACCAGTTCCCAGGTCCGGTTAGGAATAGTACGAGGATATTCTTTTCCGGCTTGTGAATATGATAGGTTTGTACGGTATTTTCACTGGTAGTCTTGCCTCTTCCCAGGCCAAGCTGAAAAGATCAAGAACGCACCACGTCTTCATATATACATACAGACGAAGACAGCACCTCTCCAACGAGTGGTTGAGGATGCACTGTACCGCCCACCTTTCCCATGCAACACGAATGGGACAACCCAGTCGCGAAGACCTTTTCTTGAAGAGCGGAGATGGTTTCCATGAATCCCTCTGGCCGCAGTCGGCGCCCATATTTCTCTGGTCCTAGTCCAGAAGAGACGAAGGCAGCATGCTGTATCCAAACGAGGTTTGCTTTGTAGACACCGTCAAAGCAAAATCGTTAGTCCCAACCCAAATCTACGAAACATAAACTCCGGACCCATGCTTCCCATAATGAACGCCTCAGGCATCAAAGTAATCGCAATGAACCAACGTGAGATACATAGCATAGCAGCGGCCGAATTACGTATTACGGCAACGTTGAAACCTGCTCAATGATCTCTTTCAATCATCCTCTTCGCGAGGTTCCTTCTTCGGCGTCCCTGCAAGCTGCTTCTGCCAAAGCTTATTGGCCGCGTCCCTGTCGAGCTCGGCAAAGAGAATGTTGAATACTTCCGAGTACCAGCTCACTGCATGGCCTTCAATACCGTCTTTGATGTTCTGTATATACTGTCAGCTCGAAGAGTGTACCAAGGAAGATATATTTTGGAATCTACTCACCTCCGGCAGCTCTAACCAGTCGGACATATTGTCTGCCGGGAAGATAATCTTCTTCGCACCAGCACGACGAGCAGCCACCGTCTTCTCCCGCAAGCCGCCGATACGAAGGACTTTGCCCGTCACGGTCAGTTCTCCTGTCATTGCTATTGTCGGGTCGAGAGGGTGGTCCAGGGCCAGCGAAAGAAGAGAAGTGGCCATGGTGATGCCGGCAGATGGACCTGAATCCACTTGTTAGACCTCCGTGCAAAAAGGTAAAATATGCTAGGAATTTTTCGGCTTACCATCCTTGGGAACAGCGCCTTCAGGGCAATGCATATGAAGTTTCGCCTTCTCGAAGAATTTGTTCTCCGGGAACTGCTTAGCCAAGACCGACTTTGCAAAAGAGTATGCAATCTGTGTGGATTCCTTCATCACAGGTTGCAGATTTCCTGTGATGTCGATACCAGGTCGTGACTCAGGAGTCAGAGCATTTTCCAGAATCGACTCAACGTACAGTGCGGCTCCGCCCATGCTGGTCCAGGCCAGACCCATCGTGACACCAGGGGGAAAGATGTCGTAGAGTCGGTCCGCTGTGAAGACAGGAGGACCGAGGTAATCTGTAAGGCTATCTTTGCCGATACTGAGGTGCACGCTCTCAGGGACCTTGAGCGCGAGACGTGGAGTTTCCGTTGTCGATTTTTCGGGATCGGCAGGGGGATCCTTGGGATCTCCTTCTTCGGTCTCCTTCTTCGATTCTTCCTGTGCGGCTTTACCCTCGTCAGTAAGAGCCTTGTCTTCGCCAAGAACCTCCTCGCCAAGATCCTGGACGATCTTGAAAGCCGCTTTGCGATAGACTTTCTCAATCTGCTTCTTCAAATTTCGAACACCACTCTCGCGGGCATACGATTTGATTAATTCCTCGATAGCGTCCTTCTGAAGGTTAACGTCGACATCCTTCAGACCCGTGAGTTCCCTCGCAGCAGGTGCGAGGTAGCGCTCGGCAATAGCCATCTTCTCATCCGCAACGTAACCGGACAGCTCAATGAGTTCCATGCGGTCCAACAGAGGCCGAGGAATGGTGTCTGTGACATTGGCCGTGCAAACGAAGAGAACCTTCGACAAATCGACCGGAACATCCATGTAGTGATCGAGGAAGGATGAGTTCTGTTCCGGGTCTAGAAGTTCGAGCAGGGCCGATGATGGATCGCCCTGATGACCTCGTCCGATTTTATCCACCTCATCAATCAGAATCAGAGGATTCTCGGTCTGGCATTTCTTGAGGGCTTGAATGATACGGCCGGGAAGTGCACCCACGTAGGTCCGACGATGGCCCTTGATCTCAGCAACATCTGTGAGACCTCCAACGGAGAACCGGTAATACTGCCGGTTCAGAGCTCGGGCGATCGACTTGCCGATACTGGTCTTTCCGACACCTGGGGGTCCTACAAGGCAGAGGATCTTGCCTTCCACGGTTCCCCGGAGCTTTCCAACCGCAATGAATTCAAGGATACGATCCTTAACATCCTTCAAGCCGTAGTGATCTTCGTCCAAGACAGTCATGGCATGCTTGATACCGAAGTTCTCCACGCTCTTCTGACCCCATGGAATTTGAGTCAGCCAGTCAAGGTAATTCCGAGTAACGTTGAATTCCGATGCGGCTGGCTCAAGGTGGGCCAGCTTGTTGATCTCCTCGTCAAACACCTTTTTGACAGCCTCTGGCATGGCCAATTTCGATGCCTTTTCTTTGAACTTCTCCACTAGTTTGTCTTTGCCGTCCGATTCGATACCCAACTCTCTCTTGATACCCTTCATCTGCTCCATCAGCCAGTACTCGCGTTGACGTTTCTGAATCTTCGCCTCCACATCTTTGGATATCTTAGACTGGAGTTGTGCGTTCATCAGTTCCTTCTTCAACACTACTAATGCCTTTGGAAGTCGCTCTTCAATGTTCATGATCTCCAGAACTTCTTGCATCTCATGCAGTTCTCCGGCAGAGACTGCGGCGGCAAAGTCGGCCAATTTAGCTGGCTCATCGCTGAGATTACCCGGAAACTGGTCGGTATAGAACGCGGAAATCTGGTCACGGAAGAGAGGGTTCAGACTGGCAATCTCCTTGCAGACGTTGACAATCTCACTTGTCACCGCACGGATGATAGCGCTCTTCTTGTCAAAAGGCTCCTCCGCCAAATTCTCCACATTCACCAAGCTGACGGGGTACTTGCGCAAGAAAGAAGTAGGCTCGTAGAGATCCTTTGGCGCGGGTTCGGCAACGCCCTCTTCAAAGCTTGCCACAACATCACCCCGCTTTTCGGGAGCCTTGTCCTCAGCGTTGCCAGCCTTAGTCTGTTCACCAGGAGGAAGAAGAGATGAAATCTTAATGCGACGATGAGGATAAAGGACGGCTGTCACGCCGCTGGCTTCTCCACGAAGAGGGTACGCCGCAGTAATTTGAGCGAACACTCCGACATCGTACACGTCGTCAAGATTTTCAATCACATCGCCGTCGGCATTCTCATCCTTGAATAAGAAGGCACCCACGTACGGTTGTCCTCGTTTCATCATCTCCTGGATTGCTGTTGCTACATTCGGGTCTCGGATGGTGATCGCTTTGTAGAAGCCCGGGAACAGAGGCCGCTTGGCAATGGGGATAGCCATGACCTGAGGATAGACCTCCGGAACGGATGGCTTCTGTAAAGCCCTATCCCCTGAGCCTTTCTTACCCTTCCGTCCACCATCTTCGTTCCCGCCGTTGCTCGCAGAGGATTTCGCGTCCGAAGATCCCCCTCCACTGACAGGGATGGGAGACGGATTCTCCGTAGCATCCGACTTCCCTTCTATGGCACCGTTCTCTTTCTTTGCATCTTCCTCCACACCACGTTGCTCCTCCTCCCCCACTACTTTATCTCTCCGCCGTCCAGAGCCCGATGTCGGAGCTCCCGGTTCCCTCCCTGTGGAGTCCGGGGACCTTCTCCGACTTTCAGGGGATCGGTCGCCGTCCTTCCGTTCATTCGGGTCCTTCTGCTCTTGCAGGTTTGAGTCTTCCTTCTCCTCACCCGATGGAGGCTTCTCTTTCCGTCGGATAGAGCTCGTAGAAAAGGCGCGCGGAGACAGTGAGGGCGAGCGAGAGAGGCGGGATAAACTTAAGTTCGAACGTACAGAACCATTGTTTCGAGCGAAAGGGAGTAGAGGTCGAAGGACTAACGGCCGTGGCGTCTGGTGGAGCGCGGCTCTCCAGGGGAGTGACTGGCCGCGGAGCATGCTACTGTGTGTTGAGGGACGAAAGGAGGTAGAGAAGGGGTATGCAGGAAGCTCCGTTGTATATCTATAACGAGGAGGGTAAGAGAGAAAAAGAAGCTGTAGAGTACCAAATTAATAGAAGAAGACCGGAGGAAGCATTACTCAACAGAAGCCGAGTGACACTTTCGGTAACCTGAGCAGGTGCTTTCATCATCAGCAGCACCCGGCGCATCATCGTTTCTCCGGTCGGATTCGGGGAACTTTTTCAACAGCCGACTCGAGAAGCTTCTAAGAGACCGCAAAGCTTCAGGTTCGGCAAAACTCGATTGCGATGTTCCCCTGCTTAGTAGCCGGGTCTTCTTTACATTAGCGCCATTGACTTTTTTGTGCTCCTGTCTTTGTGTCCGTCAACGTCCTCAGTCATTCACTACACCATCGATATCCAACATGAATTCGACTGCCGCGGCAATGCCCAAAGCTGCGGCTATCCCCGCTCGTCTGTTGCGGACTTCACGACAATGCTCAAATCAGACCCCAGCGAACAAAGTTCGATCATCGACTTATATTCGAACCTACCACGTCTCGACAATCGCATCCTCCGGGAATCGTTCGCGTGATGGCGTCTATGCTAGGAGATTCCCTTCAATCGTCTCGGCAAGGGTAGGTAGTTGTCGGTTATTTGTCCAGAACTGTATCTATACCGTGATTGTGTCTAAATAGTTGCTGACGCAAATTCTTGTTCGCAGGGCTTTCACACGACTGCAGCTCTGGCTGCTGTTCCCGATCCTTACAAGGTTTTAGGAGTGGATAGGAATGCTTCAGCAGGAGACATCAAGAAGGCTTACTATGGATTGGCGAAAAAATATCATCCGGATACCAACAAAGATCCAAACGCCAAGGAAAAATTTGCGGAAGCTCAGTCGGCCTACGAACTACTATCCGACGCGAAAAAGAGAGAGACTTACGACCGGTTTGGTTCCGCTGCATTCGATCAAAATGGCGGCTTCGATCCCAACGCCGCAGCTGGTGGTAACCCGTTCGCCGGTGCTGGTGGCTTTCACGGGTTTGGTGGGGGCTTCCCCGGCGGTTTTGCTGCTGATATCAATTTCGAGGATCTATTCGGTGCTTTCACGGGCGGCGCACGTCGGAGCGGCCGGGGCAGACGCGGCCCTTTTCAGGAGATTTTGGTAGGCGAGGACATCGAGGTCCAGACCAATATCTCTTTCATGGAGGCTGCGAAAGGTACATCAAAAGATGTTGTCATCACGCCCTTAACTGAATGCGGTACTTGTAAAGGGGATGGCCTGAAAGAGGGTGCCAAGCGGTCTCAATGTCGCCAGTGCAACGGCTCTGGCACTCGTGTGCACTTCATGCAGGGTGGTTTCCAGGTGGCAGCCACTTGTGATGCTTGTGGAGGAGCAGGCATGATCGTTCCTCGGGGTTCTGAATGTGGTACTTGCAGAGGCAACGGAGTCGTTCGGGACAAGAAAACTATTACGGTTGACATCCCTGGCGGTGTTGAGGATGGCATGCGGTTGAGGGTGGCAGGCGAAGGAGACGCGCCTCCTACAGGAACGCAAGCCGCCCCTGGTGCTCGCACTCAACGAGGCGATCTTTACGTTTCTATTCGGGTCGCGCCTGACCATCGCTTCAGTCGCTCCGGTTCCGACATCCTCTACACTGCTTCCATTCCCCTCACCACTGCTCTGCTCGGCGGTGAAGTGACCATACCCACTTTGGATGGCGAAGTGAAAGTGAAGGTAGCCACTGGAACTGGCACCGGCGATCGGATTACGCTCTCCGGGATGGGCATGAAGAAGCTGGGAGGTCGGGCCAGAGGGTACACGCCCACAGGTGACCTGAAGGTTGAGTTCAAGGTTGCCATGCCAAAGTACTTGACGGCCAACCAGCGCACTATTCTGGAAGTCCTCGCCGATGAGATGAACGACAAGACTGCCCGACGGACGATGAATATCGGGAAAGACAGGTAAGGATGATTGGTTGCAAAAGTGTTTCTCCTCGGTAGGGAATACTAACCGTGGTATGTGCTCGAAATAGCCCTCCCTCAGATACTGGCAACGCCCCCAACGAGTCCAATAAGAACGAAGGTTTCCTCAAGTCCGCCTGGCACAAGCTCATGAATAGCACAAAGAACGGCGACGGTGGAAACTCTGCCAGCAATCCAAGCAAGAAAGAGTCTGGCGACGCCAAAAAGAGTGACAAGGAAAGCAAATAATTCCCTGGCCCGAGCTCCTCGACCTGTACAGCTGAAATTTGCATACTGTGGATCTACTTCATTTTCCGAAATGTATTAAACTTAGTTTCTTTTTGGATATATATCATAGCGCCGGCGAGATGGTGTTTGTTTGTGGTTCCTGTTTCGTCATCATGGTGGAATATTTTCGGCGTCTGTCTATACCTCCTTTTTGGCCGCTGCGTGGACGGTTAGACGAGAAGTTATTGGGGGATTCTGGCTTGTATGTGAGCATGCATGAATGTACTACTAGGACTACCTGAGCTGCAACATGAAGAAGACATCTCTACTTTTCACTTGATTTGACGTCAGTATCCAGCCGCGAATCCACTGAGTGTTTCTGCTTTGGCGCCCATCCGAAGCCTCTGTTGCTCTGCTGACGGTCGGCACTGTTATTCAGTCAATTCCGCCTATTTAGGCAGTCATTGCCCCTCTATCTTCATCCAGGAGAGCTTTTCCGTCCCTCTCCTGTGAAATTTGCTTGCTGCGTAGACTCTGCTTTTTGCGCTTGATTGTTTAGCTGTCAGTCTCCTCCCCGTTTCCACTATGGTTCGTCATATATCTTGGCTCTCTGGACTAACATACGTTAGGCCGTGCCCCCTTCCTGGTTACCCCACAGCAGCACAGCTCCATCACATCTGTCGCCGATACGTCGACTTGTCCCCCATCTTTCACCATTCAATATCTGCATTGCTCGCTGTCACCTCAGGATCCGATTTGTTTTATACCCCTAACCTCTCTACGCGTTGATGGGAGCCCCCCGCTCCGAGCGATCATCACCATGGTTCAGTCTCCGATGCTGTCATGTCCGTTAAAGCAGACAAACGAGATCGATTGGATTCGGCCTCTGAAGGATTATATTAGACAGAGTTACGGGGAAGACCCGGAACGATACAACCAAGAATGCGCAACCCTCAACCGCCTACGACAGGACATGAGGGGTGCTGGAAAGGACAGCGCGACGGGCCGCGATCTACTATACCGGTATTATGGGCAGCTTGAGCTTTTGGACTTGAGGTTTCCCGTCGATGAGAATCACATCAAAATCTCCTTTACATGGTATGGCTTCCCAGCTCGTTGATGGGCGCCTCTGGCTGAATGGTTCACTTTTGCTGATCGACGCACATTCGTCCCATGATAGGTATGATGCTTTTACCCACAAACCGACCTCTCAGTACTCGTTGGCCTACGAAAAGGCGTCGATTATTTTTAACATTTCCGCCGTCCTCTCATGTCATGCAGCCAACCAGAACCGCGCAGAAGAGAGCGGGTTGAAAACCGCATACCATTCCTTCCAGGCATCAGCAGGGATGTTCACATACATCAACGAGAACTTCCTACACGCCCCTTCGACCGACCTTAACCGGGAGACGGTCAAGACATTGATCAACATTACACTTGCTCAGGCGCAGGAGGTCTTCCTCGAGAAACAAGTGGCGGACCAAAAGAAAACTGGATTTCTCGCCAAGCTGGCCAGCCAGGCGGCTTATCTTTACTCGCAGGCCGCTGAAGGAATTCAGGAGTATGCCAAGGGTGTCTTTGACAAGTCGTGGGCCATCGTTGTGCAAGCGAAAGCGGCTCACATGGCGTCGGTAGCTTCGTATTATCAAGCTTTGGCGGACAGTGAGAGCAACTCCCACGGGGTTGCTATCGCGAGGCTGCAGCTGGCTGACAAAAACTCAAGTGCAGCAATGGGATGGGCCAAGTCGTTCCCGACATCGGTCGCGCCCAACTCAAACCTGACTTCCGAGTCGGGGGCCAATCTCATTGACACCATTAAATACCACCAGGCGAATGTGCAGGCCAAACTGGTCACCTTTGTGAAGGACAACGACTTCATCTACCATCAGCCCGTTCCCAACGAAGCTGGCCTGTCCGCTGTTGCCAAGCTGCCGGCAGCCAAGGCCATCCCCGTGAGTGAACTTTACCAGGGACAAGACATTCAACGTATCATCGGACCAGACATATTCCAGAAGCTCGTCCCCATGTCAGTGACGGAGACGGCCAGTCTCTATGATGAAGAAAAGGCCAAGTTGATACGTGCGGAAACGGAAAAGGTCGAGACAGCGGACAGCGAGATGGCTGCCAGTCTGGACTACTTAAAGCTCCCAGGAAGCCTCAATATCCTCAAAGGGGGCATGGACCAAGAAATGACGGTCGACGACGAGTTCCGACAATGGTGCCAGGAACTAGCGGGCCATCAATCGTTCACTAAGGCCTTTGACACCCTTCAGGACCGAAAGGCCGAGATACTCTCACAGTTAGACCAATGCTCAAAACAACTCGACCTAGAGGAGAGCGTATGTGAAAAAATGCGATCGAAGTACGGGGCAGACTGGAGCCAGCAGCCCAGTGCCAGGCTCAATACTACACTACGCAGTGACATTCGGACGTATCGGGACACCATCAACGAGGCCAGTGCCAGCGACTCGCAGCTTCTAGCCACCCTCAGACAGTACGAGACGGATTTCGACGAAATGCGCTCTGCTGGCGAAACAAACGAGGCTGATGTGTTGTTTCAGCGCGCAATGATCAGAGCCGGATCGAAGAACGGAAAAGGCAAGAATGGAGTCGGCAGTCCCTATGCATCGACTCAGGAGGGGAGCCTGCTAGATGACGTTTACGATGAGGGAAGCCTTTCGGTGGCAGAACAAATCGCCAGGGTGGAATCCATTCTGAAGAAGCTGAATCTAGTGAAGCGGGAACGGTCTCAAGTGTTGAAAGACTTGAAAGAAAAGGTACACATTCTACGACCCTTCTCGACAGCGCTCGCACTAATCTAATGGTACAAATGCAGGTTCATAATGACGATATTTCCAACGTCTTGATCTTGAACAAAAAGTCAATTGCCGGACAAGAAAGTCAGCTTTTTGAGACCGAGTTGGAGAAGTTTCGTCCACACCAGAACCGATTGCTCCAAGCCAATCACAAACAGGCCGCATTAATGAAGGAACTCACCAAGGTTTACGGGGACTTGCTTCAGGATAAGCGCGTACGGTCTGAACAATCGAAATATGAAACCATCACCCGCCAACGGAACACCGTGATGGCCCGGTACAAGAAGATATACGATGCCTTCAATGGTCTGCTCTCCGGAATCGTGCAAGCGCAGACCTTCTACACGGAAATGGGTGAAACAGTGGAGAGTCTGAAGAAGAATGTCGAAACCTTTATCAACAACCGACGGTCCGAAGGAGCTCAACTCCTCGGGCAGATCGAACGGGAGAAGGCGAGCACTGCAACGGATCAGGAGGACAGGGAACGAGAGAAGCTGCGGCAGCTCATGGAGCGCCTGTCGACTGAGCCAAAACCTACATCTACTCCCTCACCATCGACGGCCCCTTCAAAGGCCAAATCCCCTCCACCACCTGTAAAGGCACCCGGGTACCCGGGTCCGGGCATTGCCTCTCCTCAGATGTCACCACACTTTGCGCCTGGTGTTGCTGGCCAACAGCATGGCATTCCTCTCTCCCATTCCCCCGCACCTTATGGTCAATATGCCGCTCCCCAGGCGGCGTCTCTTACATGCAGGGGCAGCCGTTTCAACAGGGCGCTGCGGCACCGTTGTCAGAGGGCTACAACCCGATGGCATATCCAGTGCCCGCTTCGATCTCCCCTCCCCCTAGTCAGCAATACTATTCGTCCACGCCCGCTCCCTACAGCGGATACTCGAATCCAGCACCGCCAACCGCTCCGTCACAGTTCATGCCACAGGGCTACGTACCCCCTCCACCGCCGCCGCGGCCGCAGCAACCATCCTACCCACCCTCTACAGGCCCATACCCGTCCGGTCCAGGGGGATACGCACAAAGCAGGCCATACGGGACGAGCCAGCACCACAAGGCGCCGTCGCAGTCTCAGTCATCCTCCTCAACCGACCCATGGGCGGGCCTCAACGCGTGGAAGTGAAACTCTCGGGTGCGGATCTCGACTATTAGCCATTATGAAGTATGATAGACATTTGGGAGGGGACGTTGAATGGTTCGCATTCCGGCGTTGACTATATGATCTATGGCTTTCATGCGTATGCCGTATTTTCTGTCAAATCTTTGTTCTTACCCCCGCGCCGTCGCGAATTATATCACTTCCTCTCAAGTCTCACCCTAGGTATTCTGTCATATATTATATCATGATGCTATTGTTCAGCGGGACTATATAAATGATGTACGATGTTTCAAAAGTCCTATTTCCATGGTCATATCCTGACCAATCATCCCATGCAAAACACGAGAGACGCGTGATAGTACCTATCAATGCAGCTATGCAGAGGTACATGCAGACAATACACAAACACCACAAGTAAGAGAACAACGATCAAGATCAACCGCATCCTGCAGGTAGAAAAGAAATGTCCATGGCAGATGCAGCGCATTCAGGTCACCGGACAAATCGGTGACGGTGTAAGCCGTAAGAGTAGACAAGACCAGGCAACTATGGAAGTAAATATCTGTACACGGAGAAAACACATGAGATGAACCAGACAAACTCAGGGGGTATCACGAAGAAAGGGGCAATGCTCGCGTGGACGAGTGAGAGCGATGAGGTATGTGAAGCCCAAAAAAGGGTAAAAGGTAAAAGAATTTGCCCGACCAGTCCAACCAGTTATACAAAGCTCCAGCCCAACGCCGACAAAGAAAGCAGAAATCGAACGAACCATCCGTCCCGTAAAGGTGTGGCAACAAGAGAGGAAAGAACAATGACGAACGAGCTAAGGCTGGAACCTTAACCGGAACTGTCTTCCCCTGCCTTCTTCTCGGACCTTATATAGAAAGCGAGCGATAGCTTCCTGCTCGGCCAGTGCGGCACTATTAAAATGCTTGCGGACGGCTGTCGCCAGCTGGGTCTTGCTCACACGGCCCTGGCCGATGGTGCGATTCAGTGCGGCTTTTCCTTCCGGTGGTCCGAGTCCGTGGTCCTTGCGATGGTGGGTACGGCCCGAGAGAGAATGGCCGGTGATGCCGTTGGTGCCATTCGTTTCATTTTGCTGCTGGAGCTTAGCACGGTGGGCGGCGATGGAAGTGGGGGACCGGAGGCCGATGCCTTGAGAGAGGAGGATGCGCGAATAGTCGCTGGAGAAGGCGCTGGGGCAGGAGAGTTTGTAGGCGTGGCGGTAGGAGTGGAGGAAATCGAGGGGCATTTCGGACCATTGGATCTGAGCCAGGTAGTCACAAGTTAGCAGGTTGATTAGACTCGGATGGACAAGAAAATTCGCGATGATACCTTTGGCAGATCGTCTGCCTGGTCGCCTGGATTGGCGGGGGCACTGGTGACGTTGGCAACAGCTGTAGAGACCTTGACCTCACGACTAGAAGCTGAACTCAGCGCCAATGAGGTTCCGGCCACCTTGCGGCCCTTTGCAGCGGTTGACTTTTGCTCTCTAGTGCCATTGGATGCTTCCGATCGAGAGTCATCCTGGACACCTGCGGTTCGCTGTCGCGGGGGGGCCATTTGGGGGGAAAGACAAGAACCGAGAGAGGAGAAAAGGAGATCGTACGGCAACAAAGATGTTCGTCTGATTGAGCTATGGACAAGCAAAACGAGCTTGTCTTCAGGACAATCACAGAACGCAATCGAGGATCATGCTAGATCATCAACAAGAGCAAACCATCATCATTGCGTAGGATCGTTTCTGAACGATAAAAAGAATGAACAGGAACCACTTCGGCTCTGACGCCGGGCGGCGACACGCGGCAGAATACCGAGGCGCGACATCTCTGGCTGTTTTAGGCTTAGTACCTGAGGGTTAGTGACGGCATCAGCCCTAATTATGTTGATTCATCGATAGTCACCATGAGCATTATGAAGTGTCAGATCCAATCTGTCGCATTGCGAACAGTGGTCAGTGGTGGAGTTGATCCTAAGGGAAAGTTGGAACATAAGACATAAGACTGAGAGAGTTGTGGGCATGACGCCAGCTGAAGCTGATGATTAGGGTTTTGTTCAGGCGCACGTGAAGTGGCGCTATCTTGGGCTTGGAGTATCATTCTCCTTGTTCATCAAGAAGTTGAGAGGGACTAAATGTCTACAAAGAGGTGTACCTAGTACGCATGGACTTGCAATTTCAATCTGCAGCAAAAGCACGGCAGTCGACTGCTCATCGTGACGTGGTGTACCAAATTCGATACAGAGGCTCGATCATTTTTTCGAGACTTGCGGTGGTGCCTGATGAGCTGATAATGTCGAGACCTGTTGCTCACCGCTATCTTTGCGTTTGCTTTGGATCCCCAAAGAGAAGGTCAAGACGAGAAGCAGAAGGTCAATTTGGTGGAACGTAGTGCCCCGATAGCAATGAGTCATTTCTCGCGAATCGGGGAGCCCCGTATCCAGACACTGACTTCTGAAAGTTCATCCCCTGAATCCGGAATAGTTACATGATTACCTAAAATGGTAAGCTCAGCTGGCCAACGGGGAGAACAGGATTAGACCCCCAATACACAGCCTAAGTAACTCTTGCTAGCGGAGAACTACCGGTTGACAATAAATTTCATCGACCACGGAGATTGCCTCAGACCACTACGGGATCGGGACAGACTCGGCAAGTGAAGAAAATTTTTCGAAGACACTCGGGAAGAAGATGCCGGAGGAATACCGGTAGAGGACTTAGACCATGAATCGTTTAGTTAGGTAGGGGGTGTCTCCAGTCTAAAGAAGGAAAAGAGACGGGGAAAAATTCCTCTTCACCGAGGAACCTCTTTGGTCGGTGAGTCGCTGACTGTCTCCGGATCTTTTCCTTCCTAGGTGCCACTAGTCTAATATAGAGTAGTGGTCTCGAAAAATGGTACGGTATGGAAAATAAAATACGGCATATGGGCTGGAATTCTCTCCAGGTACTGCGGAGAGAGGGGACGCCTCCAAATTCGGTAGTCGCATTCGCAATTCGCCCCGGCCTGGGAAAGGACCGGCTTTTCCCCGAAATCATCCGATCCCAGCTGAGCTGGCTTTGGATCTGTGATCTCGATGCGGATTCGAGTATTAGCTCTGTACGAAGCCTGTAAAGTAATAATACTCAACTCTACAAGAGGTACTCTGTGACAATTCTTTCCAGTGCTGTACTGCAGCAGACGGCAGTGGTATCAATTTGCACTCTAATTTTCGCTCGTACCACTGATCAAGGATTCCGGAGCGGGAGATTGCCGTCTAGAAGGCCGCCACTTAGGTAGGCCCATGTCTCGACTCTTGGACTAGCTGCAAATCATTGACATGACGCAATATCCGGTCATTGTCCGGTCCCTTTCCCTTTCTGTCTGAATTGTCTGTATTTCGTGTACGGAGAAGACAATGCCTTTTTACCATGGTATTTTTGATTTGAGGAGAACCAAAATCATGCAATCCCAGCATATCTGCAGCTCTGTATCTCTGTACGGAGTAGCTCTGCAGCATGTGAGCCCACACACTAGAAGATTTTTAATTAATCTATCGCTCAGTCTATTGTTGTCTAGACTGTCAGGTACAGATTAAACTAGAGGACTCGGCTTGTCTACCCCATACTCCATCAACACGCTACTCTGTACTGCTAGTAATCGAGCTCAATTCAGGGGATGCGGTGCTCTTCAAGCACATGTGTCAGACATCCCATGCCCAATAATTTCTGGAAATCAGAAAATCAATAGTCGTTGGAGAATTCCGGCGGAGATTGTAAAACTGCTTTTTGGCGACGTGTCATCAGTTCCCGTCGGTCCTTACGGCGGGTTGTACCTCGCTGGGACCCTGGTAGTTAGTTGCCAGCCGACCCTTTTGGTAAACTCCACGTCGTAGCAGGAACAAAAGATATGTCCATCACATGCAAAATTATACCTTACTATTAAGCGTCAATAATCATATTATTGCTGAGGTAGGATGTTATGACGGACTACCTACGGAGTATCCTTAACTTTATGCTTAGTCGTTTTGGTATTTACATAATACGTTCCATGGGGTGGAGGAACTCCGGCAACTTTAGCTGCAGGGGGAAGGTGTACCGGTCGGGTTCGCCTCTTCCCTTTCACTTTTCACCCGCCTCATCGTCAGGGCCTATTGAACTAATGAAGTGCGTTATCTCTGTCGGATAATCTGAGCTTTACTCCGCGTAATGTTCGTCCAATGGACCCTTCTTCCACAGGACCAACCCACGAACTCCAGCACAGATCATCGATCTTAGCCGGAAATAAATTAAATCTATCTAGAGAATAAATGACAAGATCATGATCCTCCGGACTAACAGGCACTGGCAAAAACGAAATTATCCGCCCCTGTAGCTGACTGATAGGAAGAACACAAGCTATCTATTTCCACCAATTGGCGCCGTGTCCGCCTCACTGTCTATCACCGAAAAACTATCTAACCGCCTTAGTCATCATGTCCAGGCTTCGGAAGAACGGCCCCGCAACCTGGGGGCGGCTGCGAAGCCAGCGAGAGCGTGTTACCGTCCCTGCAGGCTGATTGGTTGAGCTTCTTGTTCCAGAAGCTGTGGGGACTTTTTCTCTCTCACTCTGTCAGTCTTTTTTTGATTCGCTGACTTCTGAGCCTTGTGGGGGCCACCAAGTGCGTGGGCCAAATTGTCAAGAGCGTCGCTTTTGCGCAATTTCGTAATGATTGTAAAATTATAACCTATGGCTTTTCTCCAACTTTTCAGTTGGAGGCAGAGAGCAATCATATTCTTAGGTTAGTTACGTCTTGCTGATAATACTGCCCGACTTGTGACTGATAAGCACCCCACCTTGACCTCCCGAGAGTTCAGCAATCCAGGCAGACAATACCTTGGATGCAGTCACCCCAGTGTGTTATCAATAACTTTGATGTAATAATAAGCGACCATTCCCAATTCCATGGCTCTTCCCCGGATTCCCACTCCCCTCCCCCCGCACACAGTCGCCAAGCCATCAAAATGTCACTGTTGTTACGATTACGGAATGCGCAACGTTGCACTTCGT